AAGGTCTCACCCTTGTATAAGATGTCTGAGTGTCCACGCAGTCTCTAAATGCTGCACAGAATCAGAGGGCATCTTATTCCCCAAGCACATCAGCTGCTGCTCAAATACTTCACGCTATTCCTCACTTCTTTGCTAGGCTTGAAGCAATTTCCCCAGCTCACAAGCCTGCACTTCTCCAACTGGGATGTTTGTAGGTTTGGGGCCTCTGTGATGGGCCAGTTCCAAACTGGCACAGTTTATTTAAGTGCTATAAAGCCTGAGACTCTTGAAGTAAGTGGAAATCTTTCCAGAGAATTCAACAGCCTTTGGATGCAGCTTTCAATGTGTGTAAACCCACTTGTCCCTGCAGGAGGGCACAAAGGTGATCACGCCATAGTGAGAAATGCAGTCTGATTTTAGGAAGCACAATGCAGCTGATCTGGACTTCCACATAAATCAGTTTTCCACTGGAATATATCACAGCTGAGTTGAAAAGGGTACAGGTAGTTATACACGGTAGCAAATCTCAGCCTGTATCTGCTCTTCTATGTGGCATTGAGACAGTGAGACTGAAAGGAAATAAGTAAGTGCTAGCTTTCATTTTTTGTATTTATTTATGGCATTTTACATGCACATTCCTTGGGTAAATACAGTGAAATCTCATAGTGTGAAGATGGAAGCATGAGGAGGTGGCATAGCCAGGCTCGAAGATTCCCATGTGTTGATCAGAGCAGGAACTTTCGGGTGTGACTGCTTGCCCTTCTGATCTATTTAATGAGTTGGCTCATTATCACCAACCCAGAAGCCCTGTATCGTAGAATCACAGACTGGTTTGGGCTGGAAAGGACCTTTAGAACATCCAATTCTGCCCCCCTGCCATGGGCAGGGACACCTCACACTAGACCATGTCATCAAAGGCTTTGGCCAACCTGGCCTTGGACATTGCCAGGGATGGAGCATTCACCACTTCTTTGGGCAACCTGTTCTGGGAAGGGGCTTTGAGGGCTAGAAAAGCAAAGGCTGGAAATCATAGAACAGCTAGGGCTGGAAAGGACCTTAAGATCATCCAGTTGTGGGAATATTTTCCCCAGATATGCAGCCTGTAGAGAAATGAGATCTATTCCTTTTTCCTATTGCTTTGGTATCTCATTTTGCTGCTAACTCATTCAGCTACATGCCCAGCTGGCCGTGGAAGGGTGAGAACTGAACTTGTAAGTATTATAGCACATTTCAATTTGAGAATGTTAGAAAGAAGGAGGGAATGTTTCGTACAGGCTTGTTTCAATGTAAGATTGACTCCTTAGGAGGATAGGCCTGGCTGGATGGCACCACCGCTTGCACGGTGTAGGTGGCCAAGCAGTGTTACTGCAGGTGGAGTATCCTTCGTTATGCCAACAAGATCCCAAGCACTGATGTTTTGACTCTGCTGGGCTAAATTCAGCTTTTCATGACATTTGCACAAACACCTCTGAAAATCTGTGCCTGTTCTGTCACAAACCACTGGTTCTTCCTAACCATGCTCTTCCAAGGAAGCTGTTGCAGTGGGATTTCTGCCTATTCCCATGCAGACAGCATCAAACACATCTGAAGGTTCAGTCACTCCTTGGTGAAGTAGGTGTTCTGTAGTGTGGACCAGTACGGTCACAGATGCATTTTTATCCTGTCTTTTAGCACTATGTAACTCATTCAACTATGCAATAAGAAGGTTTTATGTCTTTAATGTCCAACGAGATAATTTGCAGAGAGATCTAGAAAGCCTGGAAGTAAAGAAATAGCCATAATTGGGTTAACCTCTGATGACTTTGAATGAAATCTCCAGTAAAGGATGCACGAAATAAGCTTAGCGTTCACCCTGTTCTTTTATGCTGGGGAATATAAAAGACAAATGAAAGATGAAAAACACTACTTGAAAATTCATGGTGATCATGAGGGATGAATTCAGAGCACCCTTTTCCCTGAACAGACATCTCCATTATGTACCCTAAGGAAGACGAGGCAGAGGAAGGTATCCTGGTGCCACACACACACAATGGCTAAATGGTTGAGCCTGCACGGTCGAGAGTGTTTGGACCACACGTTGCACTTCCAAAGTGAGAATTCCCCCTTCCACCCAGGAGATGGCACTAAGGCACCCCCACAAAAAGCATCACTTCAGTCTTCCCCAAAACCTGTTTTCCCTGAAGTTGTGTGCTGGGGAGAAAACCTGCAACGTTTGCATTCATGGGTTGTGCACCTTGTGATGGGACTAGGTGAGCATCCTATGGGGAAACACATTTCGGATTGCTCTGTGGATGCTGTCACCTGGATTTGAAGTGGGTTGTCCTGCTTATGGCTCCAGTCCAGTGAGTTTCCCACCAGAGAACTGGTGGATCGGAGCAGATTCAATCCAAGAGTGTTCCTCTGTTCTGCACACAGGCAGCACCAAATGCTTTGAAGAAATATGCCTACGGTCAACTATAACAATCAGAAGGCACCATGGTCCTGGAAAACATCTCCTAATCTCCAACTACAGCCTGATTCATACCCAGCGTGCTTCCCTGTGCTGGTTTTTGTTTGGGTTCCCCCCCTCCTTGGGTTCTGTTGCTAATGTAAAACCCAATGTTCATCCATATTGCTTTCGGAATCCTGGTGAGCTCATGACTGGTGTTGACTGGTGTTAACTGGTGCTGTGAGCCCAAGTCTGACAATGGATGGTGTGGAGGTAATGCCAGTATTAGCTAGAGCTTCTTACCTCTTTTTGGTCGCAGTGCTCTTCTGTGTTAAGCCTGTGTCACTCACACAAAGAGGCTTCATCCACCAAAAACCAGGAGCATCATTGGAGACATCAGGGAAACGGGGAGGTTGACCGTGGCTGCTCCCTTCTGTCATCTGGAAATACCTGCATGAGGTCTCAGCGTTCCATGTTACAAAGAGCTGTGACTCCCTTAGGTGGTGTGAGAGCTTGCTAAAGGCACACTTTGCTGACCACTGACCACCCTTTTGTGTGCTTGAACTGCCTTCGGACCATCATCATTTCCATAGCAGGGAGGTGCAGGGGGAAAAAAGCACTAAGAGCAATCACTGCCAAGTCAGGATTGGGAATACCTGATTGATAATTATTATTATAATATAATATCTGATTAATATAAAATACTGGGAAGAGGCAATGAAGGCTGGAGAAGCAAAGGTCTTAAAGATAATAAATATAATTGTGGGAAGATAAATGGCAGGAGATGGGGATGCAACAGGTTGGATCCTGGGAGCAGGGGCTGAAAGGTGCGAGTGCAGGTTTCCAAAGCCCCATCTCTAAACCTCATCTCCAAAGCTAGGAAGTGCCTAAATAAGCAGAATATCCAGGAAGAACATTTACCTTCAATAGCAGCAGCTTCCCCTTCTCCCTTGGTTAAGGACCAAGCTAGCAAATCCAGCATCCATCTGCCTGATTGAATATCCTCATTAGTGTGCCTGACAGGGTGTATCACAACCGTGCATTCTGATTCAGTCATTTCTTTCCACCGTGGCTGCCCATTTTGATTAGCATTTAGCAACGTGCTTTATCCTAGTGAAGGTGGCTTGAAATTACCTTGTGTACGTGCCCTAAGCGTTCATCTAGACACAGCCCCTGTCAGTGTGTAACAAACCATCGTAGCTAAGCAATGTCAAATTCAGCTTGAGGAGCCTGTCTCCAGCACAGGGACGCAGGATAACGATGTTTTTTCATAAGAGAAAACTATCAGTGAGGCCACGGGATTAACTTTAAATGGTTCAAAATGTCCCGTTGGGAACACCTCTATTCTCATGGTCTCATTCCCCAAAGAAATCAAACTCTTTGTCTACTCAGGAGCCTCTGATGCAAATAAGCTTTTCTCTCTGCTATTAAGTTAAAGGTGGTTTCATTGTTTCTGCCCTCTGAATTCTGCAGTCATTAGACCATTATACTTACCCATAGAGCAAATGCCCTCTGCCACCCAAAGGCTACATGGGCTGCCATGAGAAATGTCCCATGCCAGGACTGGAAGAGCAAGCAGCTCCACAGAAACACCAGATCCTTGTACCTCCCTGTATCATCAGCTTGGAGCATGGCCTTGCCAGGCATCATTTTGCTAAATCCATCATTGCTTCTCTTCCTGCAGGGAAACACAGCCACTAATGTGACTTTCCTAAGGTCCTGCAGCAAGTTAGTGGTGACATTTGCTGTGGGTAAGTGGTGAAGGGTTGAAACATCCATCAGTATAGGGTGTTCCATGAGTATAAGGAAGCAAGAGAGGTGATTTGCTTTGATGATATACTCCTCAGGGACCAGTGTGCTAATGTGTATACATAGCCCTGTCACCCCTTGGGTCTAAGTAATCTAATATATCTAATTAAGATATAGTCTGTATATATTACTTATTATTACTGTAAAATAAGTTATTCATTGTCATTATTATTATCTTTCGATATTTTGGCTGTTGCTGTTAATAATCTCTTGCTTATCCCTGGATACTGCAATGATGTCTACTGTCAAGGACGTTTGAAGGTATTAAAAGCAATACCTTCTAGCTGCTAGCGAGAGGGCTCTCTAAACTCTCTACTCCAGGCTAATTTTAGCATCAATTCAGAAGACCCTGAGTCAGATCACTAAAGGGCTCAGCAGAAAGGCTGCGATGGGACATCAGGTCTCGGATCTTAGCTCTGCATTGCCATCTTCAGGCTGGGAGCAGCCTTGCTCCTTCCAGAAATCCTAGAAATCTCCCAAAGACAGAGCTCAATTCCGGCTTACCCAGCATTAGCTGATATTGATGGCCAAACCCTGCGAAATGGTGTTAAAGGAGAGGAAGGAACTCTGCAAGGCTGGTGCTCAGCTGCCCTTCATAACACAGGTATTCCCCTCCCTGTGAATATACAAGGCTACAGGGAGTAAATTAACACAAGCGATGCTGTTTTACACACATTACTTCTTGCTTTGTTTGGTTTATTGGCAAGTTTTCTTTCAGCTACATAAATTGAGGCTGCCTGAGTGATTTGAGCTCCATAACCTGTGCTGTAACCCCTGCCTCCCCCCCAAAAAAAGCCTTTTCTGACAATGAAAAAAAGCTGGGGTTCTGAGAAGATTTTAATAATATGTGCTTCAAAAGGCCTCTGACAAACATTTCACATTTGATAGACACGGTGGTGGTTTGCAAGAAAGAGAGGAGGTTTCCAGGCTTTCAGGATCTCTGATGGACGGTATCACACAGACAGCTTTGGGGCACAAGGAGCTGTAATCACAGAACAGCATAGGTAAGGCATCTGAATATAAATGAGAAAATCATGGGATAGTGTAGCTAACACAAAATACATTGAAAATCACGGGATAATGAAGGTGTCCTGGCCCAGCAAGGCCAGGTTGGATGAGGTTGCCCAGACCTTGTCTCATCACCTTCTGAACATCCCCCTGCGATTCCACCACCTCTCTGGTCTCCAGCCAGTGTTTGACCACTGTCATGGTAAAAAGTATTCTCCTGATCAGATCTGGTTTGAAAATCACTTTCTAAGAGCCCAAAAATCATGGAATCACAGAATGGTTTGGGTTGGAAAGGACCTTAAGTTCATCCAGTTCCGAACCCCTGCCATGGGCAGGGACACCTCACACTGGACCATGTCACCCAAGGCTCTGTCCAACCTGGCCTTGAACACTGCCAGGTCTCAAACTGTTTATACTTCTTCCCACCGCCTCAGTCCCTGAAATCCATTATTCCCAGTCCAAAAATGGGTAATGCCGGTGCTTACCATGGTCACCTGCAGCACCAGTCACTGGGCTGCGTCCATCTCAATCCCTTTCCCAGAGCACAGCCCCATATCAGAGGTCTCAGATGACCATCTCAGCCTCCGCAAGAAAATGCTATAGGCGTCATTGTACTCGGATACCCAGTGGTTCCTGCAGAGAACACGGAGAAGGGGATAAGAAGAAGGCCTCCACCCTCTCCATGCACCAGAACAGGGGACTTGCCTCCCTTTTCACAGGGGTTGTCACCCAGCCAGTGTAGAGCAAAGGAAAGCACAAAGGTGGGGAGGAAGACCAGCCTGTCTCCATCATGCAGACGCTGAGACGCACATGGCTCTCATTGGGACCAATCTCCCACCTAGATCAGCCATTACCCAGGCTGGGCTCCAACCCACACATAACTCCAGGATCATAGATTAAATCAAGACTTGAGTGCGGAGCTGAAATCTGTGCATGAGGGGGATGAGGCAGCAGGGAGGAATTGCCTTTCCGCTGAGAAACGGGAGCTCAGGAGCAGTTGATGCCTGTTTGTTCATAGTGTGCGGGTGAGTCACATCGCAAGCAGCTCCTGCCCTGTCTGATCCAAGAGAGCCCTTTCCCAGGGGAAGCCTGGCTGTGGAAATGTTGAGACGTGCCTCCCGCTCCCAGCCCCACAGGGACCTCAGCATCTTCTTTGCATGGGGATGGGGCTGTTCATGAAAGGTCTCCTCACTCTTATCAACACCAGCACCAACACCTCCAATAACTGCTCAAGAAAAGGCTGAGCAGGCTTGGAAAAAGGGTTTGGCCCCAAGGGAAACCATTCGAGCTCATTGCATAACACAGACACAGAGAAACATGCTTCAGAAACACCTTCCAACCCTAACCAGCTCCAAACACCCCCTGACCCGCTCTTACCCTATCTCTACTCCCTCCAACCTCCCTTCCCCTCCTCACCCACCTCTCACTTACTTGTGGAGCACATCTTTGAGGAAAATGTGAGAAAGGTTCATATGTCCTTTACAATGTCCACCACAGGCTGGCCTGCGCTTGAAATCTGTGTTGTAGGTAGTTCTCCAGTCATGGGCAGAGCAGTCTGGTGAAAGAGAGTCCAAGTAACTGACTTTGCTGGATCTCTAACTCCTGCATCACAGAACCTCAGTGTTCCCCCTTCTTCCAAGCTCCATTGCTGCTTATGCTTTCAGAGCTCAATGTGGGAGTCGCCATGACCAAAGGGTTGGCCAAGGTAGAGGTGCAAGAAGTGCTTCCCTGGCGTGGATAAGGTCTTTTAGATGAGATTTCAGATGAGAGCTGGGCTTGTCCAGCCTGGAGAAGAGAAGGCTCCAGGGACACCTAAAAGCATCCTTCCAGTACCTAAAAGGGGGCTACAAGAAACCTGGAGAGGGGCTTTGGACAAGGGCCTGTAGGGACAGGCCAAGGGGAATGGCTTTAACCTGCCAGAGGGGAGACTGAGATGAGCTCTTAGGCAGAAGCTCTTCCCTGTGAGGGTGCTGAGGCGCTGGCACAGGGTGCCCAGAGAAGCTGTGGCTGCCCCATCCCTGGCAGTGTTCAAGGGCAGGTTGGACACAGGGGCTTGGAGCAAGCTGCTCTAGTGGAAGGTGTCCCTGCCCGTGGCCAGGGGGTTGGAACTGAATGAGCTTTAAGGCCCCTTCCAACTCAAACCATTCTATGATTCAGCCCTTCTTTTCTACAGCCTTTTATATATGATGGAAGTCACACAAGGCAGATCTGACAATATTGTGCTCTTCCCTTCTGGACAATGACTTGTCAGCCAGTACATATTTTTCCCTATTGTCTACATTTTGTCTTTCATCATGTCAGAGCAACACATCTCTCCCTGGAAGAGATACAAGATCCACTTAACCCCCATGTGAGGACCATAACATCTACTGTGCTATCTCCCCCCAGTAGTAGCTGGTTTGAAGGGATGCTATCTCCTATCCTGCTCTCCAGAGATGCCCCATCTATACATGTGCATGTCCTTCTGACTGAGCAGAGAAACGTGTGGACAAACATGCTGCCACCTCTCACAACAAAGCCGGGGGGCACCCAAAGAAGAACCAATTGTAGATGCTTCAGGTTTTCTGTGCATTTCAAAATGACACCTTCCCATAATGAGTCATTAGTGAAGTATCTTTGTTGTTTTCACTGAGGCTGAGATTTCAGGTGTTTATTTCACACGTGTATGACCACATCAGGCTGTTCATGCAACCCAAGCGGTCACAGCAGCAGCTCTCATGCTGCTCATTGCAGGGGGATGGACTAGATGACCTTTGTAGGTCCCTTCCAACCCAAACCATTCTATGATTCTGTGATTTACTCCCACATTGAGCAGGGCTGTGCTGCATGGGGTGGCTCATATGGAAACTGGGATGAAAGAAATGTTACTCACAATACTCCAACCTCATCTCTGCCCTTCATCTCCCTACTGATAGGCAGAGTTACAGGGACTCTGTGGACCCTTCCTGTGTCATTCACCTTCCCTTCTTCCTTAGTCTCTTCCTGCATTAAATTAAGACTCCCAAAGGCAGGCTGAAGGCCACAAGTCACCCTCATGGGGCAGTAGCCACAACCTCCATCCACTGACCTCCAGCCAGAACAGAGGAGCCCACATTCCTGAGCTTGATTTGCAGACCATTATTCTGGCTTTTCCGGCTGGTCTCCCTGATGAACTGCTGGTAGGTGGCCCAGGCCGGGACCAGCTTCCGCCTGGGGAGCAGCTTCCCTGAGAACAAGAGGGTGCATTAGTCAGGAAGCACCACCAGTTACCCAAAACATACCCTTGGGTGGGAGCAAATGAACAGCAATGGCAAGTTGGAGCCTCAGCTGGTATAAATCGGGGCAGAGCCACTCACTTCAGCAGGGCTTTGCTGAGGTACATCACTTGTGCATTGATTTGGCTCAAGAAACCAGTAGGAAAAGGATTTCCTACTGGCACAGGATTTCCAGGCGCAGCTGCAGGTTGGGCAGAGAAGAGATTCAGAGCAGCCCTGCGGAGAAGGACTTGGGGGTGTTGGTCGACGAGAAACTGAACATGAGCCGGCTTCAGTGTGCGCTTGCAGCCCAGAAAGCCAACCGTGTCCTGGACTGCATCAAAAGGAGCGTGACCAGCAGGTGCAAGGAGGTGATCCTGCCCCTCTACTCTGCTCTTGTGAGAGCTCACTTGGAGTATTGTGTGCAGTTCTGGTGTCCTCAACATAAAAAGGACATGGAACTGTTGGAACAAGTCCAGAGGAGGCCACGAGGATGATCAGGGGACTGGAGCACCTCCTGTATGAAGACAGGCTGAGGAAGTTGGGGCTGTTCAGCCTGGAGAGGAGAAGGCTGTGTGGAGACCTCATAGCAGCCTTCCAGTATCTGAAGGGGGCCTATAGGGATGCTGGGGAGGGACCCTTCATTAGGGACTGTAGTGATAGGACACGGGGTGATGGGTTAAAACTTAAACAGGGGAAGTTTAGGTTGGATCTAAGGAGGAAATCCTTTCCTGTGAGGGTGGTGAGGCACTGGAATGGGTTGCCCAGGGAAGCTGTGAATGCTCCATCCCTGGCAGTGTTCAAGGCCAGGTTGGACAGAGCCTTGGGTGACATGGTCTGCTGTGAGGTGTCCCTGCCCATGGCAGGGGGGTTGGAACTGGATGATCTTAAGTTCCTTTCCAACTCAAACCATTCTATGATTCTATGATTTATGGTCATAGCAAGCAAGTGGAAGGAGCCATGCTGTCTCGGTGTTTCCCTGGAGTGCTAAAAGGAGCTGAGACCCCCTGCAGGAGGTTCGTGTATGAAAGGGAAAGACTTTGAGGGAAATACTGCTAGATTACACAAGGACAGAGCAGTAAGGGGAAAGCCCACTGTAGTGTTGTCATTAGAACAAGACAGCTTGAGAGGGGCTTGGCAAGGAGATGCTTGAAGCCCTCAGGTGTTAAGAGGAGTCTAAACTGACTGTCCAAATGGAGACATGTCACTCTGAGCTGCTTGTCCAGACTCTCCTTCTAGTGAGTAGAGAGAGGGCTTACTTCACCTCATCTTCCAGGTAGCACTTAAGCTGCAGAAGATGGCTGTGTCTTTTCTCCCCTCTGATCATGAAAGGATCCAGACACAGGCATCCCATGCTGAACTCAGGGAGCAGAGAGGACATCCCTGCTTGTGTCCTCATGTTTGATTCCGGAGCAATACTATCCCCTTCCCTCTCCCAAGGGAGCTTAGAGGAACACCTCCGTTGCTTTGGGAAGGTTGAGCATGGCTGGGTGACGTTTGGTGACAGCTTCTTTTGTTTTCCTGACTTCCAGGAGCATTTTAATCCATGTAAGCAAGCTGTTAAATGGCATGGCTGAGGGCTGGCTACCAGTGCCTTCGATGCATTTGCTGCCTATCAGGTATCCCTAGCAGAAGGGCACTAAGAGCTGCTGCTGCTCTGAACCACCCAAGTCCCTCATGCTCGACCATGGAGTCCTTTTGCCTCCCTGCACTTCTGTTCATGACCTGCAACATGGGGTTAACCACATCTCCCTCTGTCCCAAAGGAGCAGTGAAGATAAGACTCTAGGAGACTTTGCCATGCCAGTGACTTGCTAGTAGGGCTCTTCATACACCAAGCATGGCTCTGTAGATGTTTCTAAGACTCCACTCACTACACCTGCACTTAGAGCTGGGCTGGGAGCTGCATGTTCATGGTGACAGGGTGCTGTGCCCATGCTGCTAATCCTCATCAGCATTAACCCAGCACCAACACTCTATCAGGATGCTGCCATCGTGTGTGTCCAGACAACATGGACCATGGGCAGGGGGGCTCAGCTAGCAAAGACCCAGGAGACATCCCTTGGGGTAGCTGGATATGTCCATTCATGTTTGTGAGCAGCTGGTGTGGGGTTTACCTGCTGTCCCAGCAGCCTGAGCAGCCACTGGAAGATGCTGGCAACAAGACAGCTCATTCTCCAGCTCACTGAGAGCCTGCAGCTTCTCTGCCTTCTCTGCCAGTTGAGAGGCAGGGTAGTGCTTTGGTAGGTAGCTTTCTGCAGCAGGAAGGAGGGAAGCAAAGTGCTTTCCCTGTCGCAAGGCTCTGCTGCTGTCTGGCATCCTCCCTCCTGCACCATCATCATGACTGATGGCTTCGACGCTCGGTGCTGGGATGACTTCCCTCCTCTGCCTAACAACGCTGTCGCTGTAGGGTATCACTGGCCTCTCCTGGGGTACAGCAAACTCCTTGGCTTTTAGCTGGGCATCTGCAACCTGCAGCTTCTGCAGAACAAAGGAAGGACAGCTGCTAAAGCATCATTAGGCAATGCTACCTGCCCTGGGCTTTGGTCAGGTCAGCTCCACTGGGGATACAACAGTCACAAAGCAGCTCCTTAACTGTTATTACGAATGCAGGGACCATCACAGCTTCCTCTTTGTGCCCATCTTACGGCTTGGGACTCAGGAGGACAGAAGGAAAGAAGGAGGGAACTTTGATGACGGGTTTGACGGCTCCAAGGGTTTATGTCAGGGAAGGGCTAATGGGGCTGCTGGCATGGCTGCTCTGGGGTGTCTGCTGGCTCCAGCCTCATCAGCTGCACACTCCAGCTCTCTCATGAGCCAGTTGCTTCTTTCTAGGGGCTCCAAAAGAGACTTCCCTGCTGTGAGCTCTGCCAGGCTGCTGGGGCCAGCAAGGAGCATCCTCACAGGGTCTGCCCCAGCAGGCACCTTCACACAATGAATTCTCTGTTGCTGTCCCCCCTCCTTTTGCTCCCCAGGCTGAACCTTCTATTTTCCCCTCTCTCCTGAGCCCAAAGCACTCCATCAACCCAACATGCCCCCCGCCACTTCCCCGCAGTGGCCCTGGTGCACACCACAGCGGTCCCCTTTGGGCTGCCACAAGCAATTAGACCAGGCAGGCAGAGCAAGGCAAATCAGATTAAATAGCTCAGGGGCTTGCTCACACTGCAAGGGGATTCAAGCACAACAGCCCACAGCTCCCCTGCAGAAGTCTTCTCAGGCCCGTGGCAGGGCAAGGAGCCATCTCCATCCCACATGAGATCCCCCTCCTCAAGGTGGTACCGGGATGGGTCTAATCCTGATGCACTCCATCAGCCCCACGGGAAGCAAGAGGAGTCCAAGGCTTAGGCACCGGTTCAGCAAGCAGTCGTTAGTGCCCTGACTTAATGAGTGTAATTAGCATCACCCACCCCAAACAGCTTTACTGCAGGGCACGAGGAGGATTTCCCACAGAAGGGATGGGGACACAAGCCAAGGGCATTAGGGTGTGATGAGACCTGCTGGTGGGTCATAGAGGTGGGGACCAAAGCAGACCCATGCCTGCTGCCCCCTTGGGTCCCCAGCTGTCCTGTATCCATGATCCATGGATGTTTTAGTGGATACTAAAGAGCCAAGCAAAGAAAAGCCCATGGTACCTGTATGTCGCTGGGTAGCTTGTACTCCTCACACCACTGATAGTCCTTCTTGTACAAACTCTTGTACATGTCCAGTGACACAGGTGGCTGAAAGGAGAAGAGGCAAACATAAGGAACAGCTAGGGCTGGAGGGAAGAGTTCCAAAGTGGAAATACATACCCAAATGCTCTCTTACTGCTCAGGAGAAGATAAGCTGCCTGTGTCCCCTGAGCCACCCAGAGCCAGTCCAACAGGAGCAATGCCTTGCTCAGTTAAGCCCCAAGAAGGTGGCCAGGAAGGCCCTATGATCATTTGGCAATGACTTCTGGGGCTCTTCTTGTCCCAGGCAGCCCCCTGCAACAAACACCTTCCTCCTGTCTCTCTCAAGCCTCCTCTGACTGCTCAGATCCCCCCAGGCAGAGCACTAATATAAAGCTGCTGAAATACTTTGTTGAGCTGCTGGGGTCCAGCATCACTCAGGCTAAAGCAGCACGTGCTTCCATCTTCTGTTTTAGCAGTATTTCCTATGTGCTTATCACATGCTTGTTTAAAGCTAAGTGCTGGCTATTGTCAATACTCACTCTCCAAAGTGGTTGGAAAACCTACGGAGGAAAACTCTGCCAAGGGATATTAATCCAATGATATCTGCCCTAACACCAAAAATCAGTGCGGTGCAAACTTCTGGATATGGGGAGAGGATTTGAGGGAAAAAGCACCTGTATTTGTGTTTTCCCCTTCAGCATCTACCATGGGCACTGCTGGAGTGGAGAAACAGGGAGAGATGAGCCTTCAGGTTGGCCCATGAAATGCTAAAGCATTAAATGTGCTATGTGTCAATGCATGGCAATGGCTGGGGGACATAAGCTCCTGTGCAGTAACTGAAGGTGTTACCATGATCTCCGCTGCTACATGAACACATCCACCACACGGGGTGGCTTGGCCACTGGGTCTGCACTCCCATGTCCCCATGATACAAGGAATCAATAACTGCCCCAGCAAACAGCCCTTAGGGAGAGCTCCTTGTGCCTATTCAACGTCACCCATTATGGCAAAGAATATATTTTATATTCTCTTTTTTCTATCATTTCACTCTTTTTCTCCTCCGGGCTTCCCAAACCAGTGGCTGCCCGTGGATCTCATTGTCACCAGCTCTCATTAGCTTCCCAGCCTGGCAGACCCTGTAAACCCATTACTCAAACACCAGTGAGGATGCCTCACCTTTGAGTGCTCCGGTTTCCCCACTGTGTCCACCATGGTGAGCCAGGAACCTGGAGCAGGAAAGTCACTCAGTTAACAACCAGCAAACCAGATCCTCTCCTCCACACCGCCCCAAGGGATCTAGAGACCTGGAGATGTGAACTGGCAATAGGAAGGGGGTTCATCTGGGGCTGTGAGGCCCCTGTGCACCCCAACTTCATCAATACAAAATGCACCCATCCAGCCCAACTCACAGAACAGACAGAGCCGAACACCTCAGGGAGTCAGCCCTGTGGGACCCAGCAGGCAAGAGGTGACAGCACCACACAAACAGCAGCTCCAGGGAGTGAATATGGGTGTCCTGTCCTGCAATAGGTTACGTGTGCAATGGGATCCACCAACACCTGCGTTGCCACGGTGATTCCAATGACGAGGGAAAACATTGCCCCTTTGTGAGACATCCACACTCCAGAACCCTTGAGGCATTGGTGGGAGTATGGGGGCTTTGACAGCATGGGGTGAGAGCTTCTTGGAGGAGAAGCCACCCCATGGTCACAGTGGGGGAGCTGATACCCACTCCTTCAGCTGCAGTCAGGACAAGAGTGGGATAAAGCCCTTAGGGCTCTTGGGGCATCTCCAGCTCCTGCTAAAGATAAAGATGGGAGTAAAAGATGGGGAAACTGGGGAGATTGGACCTACTTTGTGGGTGTGTTGACTTGAAGAAAGCAGTCTCCTTACCTCATGGTCTCCCACCTCCATGGGAGGGTGGGAAACACTGCAGAAGTAAGGCAATCAGGGACCTATGCTTGGTCTTGGAGGGTGGCTGAGTACACCTGAACTGTCCCATCCAGATGCTGCAGTTCTCATCCTCTGATGACCTGAAGCATAAGGCAGTAGGGGATGCTCAGATGTAGTCTTCTGTCCCATGGATGGACAAGAACCAGACCAGATCCGCAAAGCAGCATTTACTCTTTAATGAAAGTCAAGGATTAACAAGGTTTGGATGCACCTCATACAAGAGTAATCTCTTGTAATCTAATTTTAGCATGTCCCCAAAGATGTCTCACTCTGAGCTGACCCTTCCTGGCATCCTGACTCATTTAGCCCAATTCATTTAAACAATATAGTTATGTACTTGGGAATTAAATCATAGAATGGTTTGGGTTGGAAGGGACCTTAAAGCTCATCCAGTTCCAACCCCTGCCACAGGCAGGGACCCCTTCCACTAGAGCAGCTTGCTCCAAGCCCCTGTGTCCAACCTGGCCTTGAGCACTGCCAGGGATGGGGCAGCCACAGCTTCTCTGGGCACCCTGTGCCAGCGCCTCAGCACCCTCACAGGGAAGAGCTTCTGCCTAAGAGCTCATCTCAGTCTCCCCTCTGGCAGGTTAAAGCCATTCCCCTTGGCCTGTCCCTACAGGCCCTTGTCCAAAGCCCCTCTCCAGGTTTCTTGTTGGCCACTTTAGACACTGGGAACTACTCTAAGGTCTCCCTTCTACCTTCCCCAGGTTAAACAACTCCAGTTCTCTCAGCCTGAAAACTGTTTTCTCAGAAAGCCTGGGTTTGGTCAGTTGAATCTCATCCAAGAGTCCAATTTCTATAGCTACACATGAGCCTGGCTGTCAGTTCAGAAACGAGATCCTCTGGCACTACTGCAGTGCAAACAGTCGTAAAGGCTGGTGATGGTGCACGAGTCAGAAAGACAACATCTCAGCTCCAGGATCCTCCACAGAGAAGTCAGTCATGGACCTGTATTCACACGCAGTGTGGGAAGGAGCTGAAATGCTGGAGCTGTTTCTCTTTGCACACTCTTAGACACCAGCGTAGAGCTGGACCCCAGGGCTCTGCAGGGGCCGTGTGCTGCTAAAGGCTCAGCACTGGAGTCACGCAGAAGCAGCATCCCTTTATCCCCGCTGTATTTTATGTAAATTAACATTAGTGTAAATGATGCAACAAGGAAAGAAATTATTTCCAGAAATGTGAAACTCTCCTGTTCTCCTGTGCTTATATTAAAGGGATTACACTCCATTTCCTTCTTAATACAGCTAATGCTCTATGGGAAGCCCTCAGGCCAGGGATTAAAGCACTTATTCAATTAATTAGGAACAAACTTCTGCCTTAAAGTCAAACACACAAATATCAGTAAGCCCTTGAGAGTGTCATCCTTGCAGGGCCAGGAAAACGGATCCTATTTCTGATGTAAATGAAACCCTGCCTGCACTCCAGAATTACTAGGAATAATATGAATTAAGAAAATTGACTTTTAAAACACTGTAATTCTGTAAAGCAGTGCAGTAAAGTAGGAACAGTACCATCCTCTTGAACTCAGCATCCAAACCGCCATCACTTACAGGGGGAGCAGAATCACGTCCTACAGGACTAATTAATATAAATGAGATACAACGTCAGGATGGAACATTGGTAACTAGATCCAAGCTGCAGGCACAGCAGATTTCGGATATATTTGAAGTTAGAGATGAAATCCTGGCCCTGCTAAACTCAAAACGCAAAATGCTTATTCAGTAGGATCCGAATTTCACCTAAGGTGTCTGATTCATTACCGAGATAAGAGACAATTTCCAAAACCTGGCTCCAATTCCTCATCTTCCTTGATGCTGGTTTGATCCTTCCGCCTTCTCGCAGGCACAGCTCTCATGAAATTAAAAGGCATTTTGCCAGGGTAGCTTATGCAGGAGCAGCCCACTATTGCTGTTCAGCTTCCCATTTCTTCTTCCCAAATATCAAACGATGGAAGCTGATTGTTGCCAGCATAATCCCAATTAGAAGCAGGTAGGAACCAAACTCCCAGCTCTCATCTTCTTCTACATTCAAGAGAGCTCATTTGCCTCCTTGCTGCTGATTCAGATATGGAGAAAAACTGAACCAGCCACATGCCTATTTTTAAGAGGTTTTATACATGAAAACCAGGAACATGGACTCTTTTTAAACCTCCAGGGCTTGGAGCAACCTGCTCTAGTGGAAGGTGTCCCTGCCCATGGCAGGGGGGTGGAATTAGATGATCTTTAAGGTCCCTTCCAACCCAGACCATTCTGGGATTCTATGATACCTATGGGCTGCAGTGCCGCTCTCTCTCCTGTGATACCAATTCCCTGCAATGGTCCTAGATTTCTGTTGAGCTCCCCAGTACAAGGAAACTCAGCAGAAGGATGCTCCTGCACATCATATTCCCCCCTGGCAATCCCACACACAGCATTCAGCACAGGCTGTACATGAGAAGCACCAGGAGGGAGACATCCAAATGGAGTGAATGGAAATACTGTGTTGGATTCACATCATCTGGAATTGCCCCTTCCCCACAGCATTAAGCACTGTGTGATCATTCAGACTCTGCTGGGCTACTGGACATGCCCATGCCAGCGCCTCATGGATGTTGAAGCAGTCATAGAATCCCAGACTGGTTTGGGTTGGAAGGGACCTTAAAGCTCACCCAGTTCTAACCCCCTGCCACGGGCAGAGACACCTTCCACTAGAGCAGCTTGCTCCAAGCCCCTGTGTCCAACCTGGCCTTGAACACTGCCAGGGATGGGGCAGCCACAGCTTCTCTGGGCACCCTGTGCCAGCGCCTCAGCACCCTCACAGGGAAGAGCTTCTGCCTAAGAGCTCATCTCAGTCTGCTTTCTTGTAGTTCAAAGTCATTCCCCTTGTCCTATCCCTACAGGTCCTTGTTAAAAGTCCCTCTCCAAATCTATTGCTTTCTAAAGGCCAACTGTGCTATAAACACCTGCAGGAGAAAACTGTTCCTAAATAACAGGTTTATTCTCACAGCACTCCAGAGAGGTGACTGTAGAGATTCCCAGGGTTAGGAACCTAAACCACAGACCTGAATGGAAGTGCTTCTGTTTCTCAAGGCAATGATCACCCCAAACACCCAGGGAGGTTTTTAGAGGGTGCTGGTGCTTTTGTCTTCACCATATCATGCTATGTGTGTGGATACAAGGAAATTACAATAAACCAGCAGGGACCCAATCGTCAAAGGCAAACATTTATGTGTTTTAGTAGGACCTTGGGAGAACTTTTCAATGGGTCTAAGTGCACAACAGCTGAGTTCAGGTCCTTTAACACCATATAGATAGGAAGAGTTTAAATTCAATTAAAGAACCTTAATTATAATGTGAAATAATGAGATTTGTGTACCTGCTCTGTGCAGCTCCTTTCTGACATTCTGTTCCCTGTGCTCAGAGGTACCTATGTACCTCTGAAAAGTCAATCAGTAAGCATCTAGGATGTGACATAAAGATGAATTTCACATCTTTTTGGCCCTCACTTCTCATATTTGCAGTCTTTTTTCACTTATGAAACGGCAATGGTGCTATCTAAGCCTGTATGGCTCTTGTGCAAGGTGCTGCACTGGGTACAGCAGGGTTCAGGTGAACCATCCCAGCTATTAATTCACCACAAGAAAACGTGGCCAAGGAGGATATACCTCCCTGTCAACCCAGCTCTGACAAGTGCTCTTTGGGCTAGGAATAAGATTCATTGCCCCTGTGAGGATGTTGAAAGAGGGAAGTGATGGGTAAGCAGGACCCCCATCGCATGAAAGAGGCAGGGTGTAATCTGTGAATCTCCATTGAGGCTATCACCACGAGGAGACAAAGTGCAAAGGGGAGACTCTTCTTCAAGGGACGAGTGTTGACAGCCCATTCTGTCAGCGTGAAGTCAGTCATCCATTTGGGTCTAAAAACATGAACTTTGGTGGCAATGCAGCAGTCCAGCCTGGGAAGGTTTCCCATGGGGTTATTTATTCCATGCTTCTCTCCAGCTTTTCTGATAAATTGGGGCATTTATGGCATCTTGTGATCAGAAACAAGCAGCATCCTTCAGCCTAAACCTGAGGCACCTGTAGCTCTCATCCAGTCATCTAAATCACTTACAGAGCTAAGCCCTCAAGTGTGTTGCACAGCCATTCCTCCCCTTTAGAAGACAAGAGCAGTTGGTGAACTCAGTGGTGGTGTCCCAAATCTTTGGGCAGTTCTGCTGTAACCTGCTAAAACAATCAGCTGTTTGCCCCCCCCCCCCCCCCCCCCCCCCCCCCCCCCCAAGTATCCATCAGCAGAGGATGGCTGAAATCTCATCACTGCCTATGCAATGTGTCCTGTGATCCAAATCAATGCATATTTATGCACCTGGGTAAGGCAAATATATATCTGTATTGTCAGAGAACCCAAATCTGCTCACTAATGCTGTTTAAATAGCCCTTTAACCACATCACTTTTCTCCTCGTTAGGTTAAGTCCCTAGAGGTGAAAAAGTCCTTCCAAAATGGTTTTCACTCACTCACTCAGTCCAAAGTAAACATGCCTCCGGGACCATTATGTGTATCAGATATCCGAGGCTTTGTTAAGAGCTTGCCTGTTAGGTAAATTCTGCTTCTCTTTCTCCTTGGAAGGAGTAGCTTAAAACT